CGCTCGAAAACAACCCTGATGGGTCGTACGCCTCTTTCACCTTCAAGAACTCTGTTACATTTCTGTATTTCTTGAACACACCATCGAATGCAATGTTCCTATTCTTCCCCCAGTGTGGAAGACCTCCATACTTGAACACTGCCATTTGCTCTATCTCTTCCAGAATATCTTCGTAAAGCCTGGGAGTCAGTGGATCTTTGCTCCGGTAATAGGTGATATCAAAGTCTAATGCATCCTCTTGACTGCCCAAGTAAGCACTTGAAGCTTTAACATAGCGCATGAGGATTCCATTGTAGAGTTCTAGTCCACAGAGTGACTTGGACTCCAAGGCAACCAGGCTTTGTACGTCTTTAATGAAGCTCTGAACTACGGACAAACTGATTTTGAAGGTAGTTTGGTGAAAAAACTCACCTTTTATTCTTGGGTCCCAAGGACATGCAGTAATTAGTCCATTCTCAGGACTATTAACGCAACTTGAAGATGATTGGAGGCGATTCTGATATCCAATTACTGGATAACCAGTAAAGATAATACCTAATTGGATAAAAATAAATAAATGATTTTTAAACCGTCTTTATAGAAAGTCTTTTTTTTATATAAACCAAAACAAAAACAAACAAAAAAAAAAGATATGTTTTACAATTCAATCCAAGTATTAAATCATGAGTGCTAGTCCTTAGTAAGAAAGTAAATCTTTCAATTAAATTGTTGGTATTATATGATTATATATAGTTTAAATTACAAAACACCAAATTAAAATAAAAGATACCATTGTTTGTTAATCCGTATGCAATTGCTCCAAGAATCGTGGTGGTTACCCCTGCGGAAACGCACTTCATTTCATCCAAACCATTGGATTCTTGAGTTTCCTCTAAAAATTAAACAAACATTATTGTCAATTATAGCAAATCTTGGCAGCTGATATGAAGTAAACTAAAACACATCCCAATTCCAAAACCTGTAGTTCTAATACTTTCGGCTACAAGTGAAAGTGTGTCGCGGAATCCGGTGAAGTCGTACAGACCTTCTCCAGAAACATCCAGAGAAACACGATCGTCAACTCGATACACAACCTGGCGTTGACTAGGGTACCATGACATATCTGCAAACTCATGCTGCTTACCAAAACTAACTGCTTCATCTCCCAAGTCCATGTCAATCTTCTTCACATAGGTAATGGATCGCTTGAACATGGGTTCCAATTTCAAAGTCACCTAGAAAAGGAAAAAAGGTAACAAATTTTTAGTCACCAAGCTATATATTTAATATAACTGAGTACTCCTTGTTCTTAATTAATCAATTAACAAATTTTATTTTTTAAAAAAAAATAATGGAGCTTTTATTTATTTATTTTTTCTTGGTATAGGTGTGTGTCTAAAAACATTTTAAATCAACTTGTGTGTGCCATATTAAGTTAATTTCATTAATTGAATCTAAAGATTTGCCAGTTATAATCCAATATTAAATTTAGATAATTCATAAAAAATTAACACATGTTAAATTTTATATGTACCTGGGAAATAACTCCAAGAACTCCTAGAGAAACTTTAGCTGCATTCAGATCCTCGTGGCTCTCATTCAGAATCCTGATCTTGGCATAACCTTCATCAGGTCCTCCTGGACTTATAATTCTCATAGCTATAACGTAATCATGAACTGCACTTCCCTTGCCCCACAAGGAGCTGCCATGAGACCCCGTGCTCAGGATGCCCCCAATGGTGGAGCCAGACCAGTAGGGGGCGTACGGCAATGCAAGTCCTGCCTTGGCCGCCTCCTCGATTAGCTGACTCAAGGCCATTCCACTCTCCACTGTCATTGTCATTGCTGCAGCATCGACATTTACTACATGGTTGAGATATTTGGTGCTAATAAGCAACCCATCGACACCATCAGGGCAGGCGAGTTTGGGGATGCTGTGAGCAAAACTAGTCACCACCTTCATCTTCTTACCGGCCTTGGTTGCAGCCGATACAATGGAACCGATCTCTTCTTCAGTGCCTGGGTAGGCCACGTTCCCAGCTCGACAGGTGCTCCGATCAGGGAACATGCCATAACAGTTGGTGATGGTGCAGTCGGAGTCTTTTGATGAGCATTTGACTGGGTCATCCGGTGGGCTGCAACTCGCTACAATGAACAATATGAGGAGGAAATTGGATCGGAGAAGTTTTCTTGTGGAGGACATGGTGGCGCCCGGTTGGTAGCTATTGATTGTGTAAGATGTATATATGAATGTTCTATAATGCAACCAATTTAATTAGGCCCCACTGTCTACAAATCGGTAACCAACAAAAAATTATGGTAATTAATCTTGCACCAATTTAATTACGTATCAATGGAGTGTTCGTGGTGCGGACCAAACATTAGCATATTGTTGCGTGACTTATAAATCACTATAAGAAATAAGTAAAGGCTTGGAAGTCAAATTTTATACATTGTTTTTTCTGTACTATCTTCCCATAAATAGATTTAAAAATTGCGATGCTTAAATGTTTTGAATTTATAACTCAACTACATGTATTATGATTTAAAAGAAGAACAAGTTTGAACCCCCTTACCCCAACATAATATTGAACGTTTTGCAGGAAGTTTTGGATTCAACTAAGCTCTTATTTGTAACAATGTAGAAGCTATTTTATCTGATTACATTTCTAAATTATTACTAGTTTATCACAAAATTTGAATCTGACAAAATTATTAAATTTTAAAATTTTAAATGTTAGTTTTACTATGAAACATCATATATACAACATATAATACTTTTTTAGGTACTTAGAAATCAACTAAATCTCATAAAATCATTAAAATTTGAATTTTAAAATTTTAGTACAACTTTGAAACATCATATATATAACTTATAACATTTTTTTAGGTATATAAGAATCAATTAAAATCTCATAAAATTATTAAATCACAAAATTTAAAATGTTAATCTAACTTTGAAAGATTATCTACGTAACTTATAATACTTTTTTTAGATATCGTACAATCAATCGAATCTTATAAAATCATTAAACTTTCAAATTTAAAATTTTAGTGTCACTTTAAAACGTTATATATGTAACCTATAACACTTTTTTAGGCATCTAAACAAGTAACAATCAACTATTTTGGGCAAATAAAAAAATTTCCACTTACTATTTTGAGTAAAGTTATGAGAATCAGACAAAGTCTTTAATCTGATTATTCATGCCATATCGAAATGATATCATTGAGGAAAATACACTCGACCGGTTAGCCTTAGAAATAAAATATTTGGTGTAAAGAACCAATTGAGCGAAGTTGGAGCGCTTGCAGCTATGGCTGCATTGGAACAGTATCGATGACTCGATCAAAGGTAGCTAAGTTGGCTTCTCAAAAATAAAAGTAAAAATAAAAAGAATAAGGTCGCTAAGTTCGTCGGCCAAAAAAAAGAAAAACAAAACAAAAAAGTAGCTAAGTTTAGAGCAATACTTAAAAGGAAAGATCAAATCCGTTTTATCAGAAAGAAAAGAAACTTCAAATAATCAATACTTAATTTGTTTAGGTTTTATAGGTGAGGCAGGCAGATGAGCTACTGGCCATATGAAATTTTTAAGGGAAATTGCAGTTACCCCCTTTGGTTTGGGGGAGAGAGCACTTAATTTTCTAAATTAAAAAAATATGCAATTAAATTTCATGTAATTCAAAAAAAGTGTGCTTAATTTTTACAATTATAAAAATGTGCTCTTAATTCCTTGTGGTTCGAAAAATGTTCATTAGAAACCCCAAGTGTTTAGAGAGTTCGCCTTCAATATTAATAAACTTGAGGTCAAGTCAAGAGCATATTTTATAAATCATGATGGGATTATGATCACATAATTTCATAATTTGTGAGGTTAAAGGCAGACATTTTCAAACTACAAGGGGTTACACAGACCTTTTGTGACTTTAGATGTTAAGTGTGCTTATCTCAAACTGCGTGTGGAGGAAAGTATAATTTTGGAATATAATACAAATGCCAAATTGATGGCCAAAAATAAATATATAGAATACAGGATTGTTTTTCTCTACAAGTTTTGCTATCGAATGAGTGTACGTATTCAAATGGAGTTAGAGTAATGCAAGGCGGGAAGTCTTAAATTTT